TAAATTTAGATTTTAATTCAGATGATATTGCATTTGATGATGATCTTGAGTATGAAGATGATGATGAAGAAACTGTAACAGGACCAAAAAAATAATGAATAAAGATTAATACACCAACAAACACAAGTGGATTATTGGATCATATTAAATTATCTCTCTACAATGGCTTGCTCCACTATTGGCCAACTCCTAATATAAATATATACCTTGCATGTCAACTAGACCCAAGATGCAAAAGACTACGTTTTTTATCAATTGATGAACAAAATAAAGCTAAAGAAATTTTATATATGATATATGCAGAATTTAAGGAACGATACTATTCATCTAAGCAAGTTTCTTCATTGGGGTCAGATTTAATTCCCATGATTAATAAAAGTGAAAACCAAGTTTATCATAAAGGATTTATCAAATCCGTTTTTTCATCAAACTTTCAAAATCAAGATAATGAAATTGCAAGTTATCTGGCTCTTCCTGAACTTGACTTTGAAACAGATCCTGCAATGTGGTGGTCTTTACAAAAATAGCAATTTCCAGTTTTACGTGAAATGACACAAAAATTTCTTGCAATTCCTGCAACAAGCACACTAAGTGAACGCTTGTTTTCAGATGCAGGAAATGTTATGAGCATGAAAAGAACATTATTAAAGCCAAAGTTATTTGGTAGAATGGTTTTTCTAAAGTGTAACATGAAAACAATCAGTTTTACTATTCCAGATATTTGAGATTAATGTATATGCAAATGCAATAATTGTAAATCTGCAAATTAGTATGTAACTTATGTAAATTGCATGTGAAATATATATATTGTATATATGTATAATTTAATGTATATATAGTATATATTATACAATTAATAAATTTATAATGCAAAAAAAAAAAGCTGTCGATAAATTAAATGCTTAACTAAATTTTTTATAATGATTTTAATATTTTTTAAAAAAACTCAATGAACATTCGAATTTTTAGCCAATCGATGCTCGAAATTCTAGAGTTTATATCCTATCGATGCCTGAAACTCATCAGTTCCAATCTCTACTACTAAGCAAAGAAGTAGTAGATAAGCTCTGGAGCTTTATTAAGTGCTATAAGAGCTTAGGCCTAAATAGTTACTTGTTTTAATATAATATTCTATATAATGTAACTCTTACAACTCTTTCTCAAGTTGGTTTTCCTTTTCACCCTTACTATTGGATTTTTTTCTCGAAATTTTTATCAAAAAGTGGAAAATCTGACATAACCTTTTTAAATGATTAACACTGTTTACCTTTTCAAATCAGTAACATTAGGCACAAGAAAATCACAAGACAAGTATCAGACCTATGATGGATGACATGTGTCAAACTCAAGAGGAAAATAAAAACTTTGATTATTTTTTCTAAACGACAAATAGAATATATTATAATACAGAGATAAAGTAAATGTGAAGTATTCTTTATTTAGTATTATATAGAATTTTTTAAAGCCAAGCATAGGCAAAATAGTGCCTTCATGTTTCTTTTTGTTCTTTTTTTTTGTCCTTCTTTTTTTTATCTTTTCTTTTTTTTTTTAGTTTATGTTTAGATTTTGTAGTTAGTTTCCACCTTTTTTTACTCTCTTTTTAGTTTTTCTTTCTTATATCTTGTTGTTCTTTAGACAAAGATTATAGAATCCTCTTGTTTAATAATTAAAAGAGAAGAAAAAATAAATTGAAGATGAAGTCAGGAAGACAATTTTGAGGCTTGTCATGAAAAAGGAAAGACCCTTTTATTATAGACTTTAAGTAGTCAGACAAGCAACTTACTTCTGTTTAAAGTAATATGACAGAGTGCACTTAGATGTCATTAGGGTGGCCAGGTAATGCTAGACTTAGTTGTTAGATACACCTATGTAATTGCAATAGTAATTTTATAAATCTTAATAAAGTACTAGCATGACTGCCTATATATATAAAAAAAAAAAAATTATATTTTACTTTTACAAGTTCTAGTTAATGTATTTAGTAACTCAAATAATAAAGCACTAAAAAAATTTTCTATTAATAATGTTAATTATATTAAGAAATTATTTATTACATTTGTAATTTGCAATATATCCTTTAAAAAAAAACATCTAGATATTATTCAAATATTAGTAATAATGAAATTTTTTGTTCATTTTTTATTGTTTTATTTATTTTTTGTTTGAAGAACATATTGAACCTATGATTATTATAACTAAATATCTGCAAGTTAATCATAATAAGATATATACTATAGATAAAAGAAAACCAGATAGAAAAATGAAAAAATAGAAAAATATTCTTTATTTATTTATTTGTAATAGGATTTTAAAAAATGATGCACTCTTTTATATAATGCCAAGTATAATCATATGATTATACTTGTAATGACAATTGTTACACAATATCTAATTATAATGTGATGTGTAATATAGGATCAATTTTCTGCTCATGTAATATTTTGAAGTAAATTAGCCAATTAAAAATCAGAATCAGGTGTAATATAAAAAAATCCAAGCAATTTATTGATGTCGAAAAGTCATGTGAGCAAAAAATCGATTCTCTTTCATAGGTATCAATATGCATTTGTAATATCTATATTACAATTAGAATAACCCATATAGTCAAGTGGCTAATAAAACTATGAATTTGTAATACCTAAATTACAATTATAACCTATATAGTCAAGTGGCTAATATACCTGTGAATTATATACTATACATACTATCCTAACTCTAACCCTAGCCTTAAAAAAAAGAACTTTCTTAGTGTTTATACTTTGTACATTCATAAATTCATAGTAGAACCTATCGCTCATACTATATATTGTAATAAAATTTACTAAAAACTATCAAGCTATAGCAATTTTAAAGTGATGAGGGTCAAGTAGAAGATCTTTTATTTAAAGGAAAATAAAATAAAAAAAAAGAAGAAATATAAAAATAAATAAAATAAATAAAAA